TTTCCCTACCAGAAAGCTCATTACATTAAGCTGGCTGGGCTCCATTTCCTTTTGAGATGACCAATTCCCAATGAACAGAAATGTATCCAATTCATTTTTCACATTCTAGTTTCACAAGCTGCTATTCTAGTACATATACACTGGAGTTCAATGAGTTTCCACTATACCTCAGTAGTCGCATGCCAGCTGTAGCCCCCAGATAAGCAGAAGTATTTTTATGCAGGTGAATTGGGATTCTCTCCTTGACTTTATTCAAACAGTCATCAAAAGGTTTGGCAAGGGCTCTAGGGTTATTCTCATAGCTGGATATGCCAGGGCCTAAAAGAGAACGAGCAGATTGATTTCACTGTGCTTTGCCAGCTACAAAGTAGTCCGAATTAGCAAACAAGTGTTAAGAGAAAGAGCTTCCTTCTTTCCTCTTGTAACTGCAAACAAGGACAGAATGGTTGAAAAGTATGAGTGCTTAAGGCATAAACTACATAGAGACGCAGCAGTGTTAAGTTCCTCAGAAGATCCTTCCAAACTGCTCTCCTGTGTTTGAGTGTGTGCATATACATATATACCTCTAGTACCTACATACAGTAACATACATACACAGTATAACCATATAACGACACAATGACAGCAGTGCTGTATTCATGAGGAAAGATGCTGGCAGATGCTGTAGAAAATAAGGTGTCCAATGGATGTAAAATTTCTCTGACCTGCAAAAGCATACTACCACAACCTAAGCCAAAGGTTCCATCGTTTGTTTTACCACCATTGATGTGGGTACCATGGCACCTCCACAGCTCACTCTCTTCAACTGGAGATATAATAAAGAAGCTTCTGCAAGGAATTCCTGGTGACATTCCAAGATGCACAGGGATGCCTTTTGAAGTCACTGAGGTTCAAGTCAAGGTTGTTGCGTGAACTACTAAGAACTTCAAAGGTTTCCTTGCCTCCAAATGTCACGCATGAGAGTCACACCTTGCTGCATAAAGTATATTTGAACAATTAACATCAAAGTCTTTCCTCCCCTGCTCAACAATCCAAGGACCAGCAAGAGTTAAAACAAACTCATGAAGTATTACTCTGGCATTTTTAGAGGAGGAGAATAAGTTAGCTTCTCTGTGCATTTTTCTCACACCAGAAGCCCTAAGGGCAACATTCCTTTTGAGTCGAGACATGAGCGAGCAGAGCCCCCCCCCCCCCCTCCCGCAGGCAGCCTGCCATTCCTGCAGCCTGTAAGCATACACCATCAGGCATATGTCAGTACATTTCTGCTGTAAACGTGTAAGTTTGTATTCATTTCTTTATTGTTCTAAGATTGCTAAGAAAGTTCACACGTTCTTTTTGGACCTTCCATATGAAAGTCCAGTAAGAAACCTTTGCCTTCTACTCGTCTACTAGTCACTTATAGACAGTTACATCTCCAACATCCATTTCCAGATACAACCGGGGACACAAGGTTTTGCATAATCATAACCAAGAGAGAAGGGAGAAATTCCCCTTGAATGCCATAGTTATTTTCAGAGATCAACAAAATCTGCACTGAGACTTCCTGAGCTGCATGCTCCTCCTCCTCCCTGCCATCTAACCTGGCTAACCCAAGCCAGTACACCGAAGTATCTCCTGTACGGTTCTGCAGCAGAGGACGGGTTTTTTGAACTCTTTAACAGGTCATCAAAGTATTTTTCAAATCAGTCTGTTTGGGGTTTTTTTCCAAATTGGACTTTCCACTTTTTATATACCATGCTAATATTTGGAGTGTGGCATAGCCCAAAAGTGGCTTAGTAGAGAAATATTGTAATGTGACTTTTTCCTAAACACTGGACTAGATAGTGACAGTTAGTTTTAAGCACTTAGTTAAACAAGCAGTGCTGCTGAAGTCAGTATCTTAGAGGATAATCTAAAGCTCATTTAAATCAGAGTAGCAAAACTTATGAAGCTTGGCTTCCTGCAGAAATCCCTTATGGTGTAGCTACCATTTAATAATGTGAATTTCTCTCTTGCCTTGCCACCTGTCTTCATAAAAGATGTGAGATTTTGGTAACAGTGGAAGCTTAGTCAAACGTCACTGAATTTGACTAGGAGATTCAGAAGTTATAGAAAAATTCACAACATATTATTATATAATCAACCATATCAGAGTCTGAGCAAAAGGCAGTCTAGTCTAGCATCCTCTCTCCCAGAGGAATCAATACAAAACCTCAGAGTAAAGAACAAAACAAGTAGCTACTGGTACTTCTCCTGCGACATCCTCTAGCAGTGCACAACTGCAGGTCTTCCTGAGTCAAAGGCCAGACCTGCATATTCGTATCTAATACGACTATCATCTAGGCATTAGTCTGCTTATGGGTTTTTTTTGTATCTACGATATCCTATCAGAAAGAGTTCTGCAATTTAACTGCTTTAAGTGATAATTTTATTAGATGATCCCTAGTTCTCCAGCATGGAGAAACTCTTCCTGTTCACCTTCTGCATGCCTTTCATAATTTGAGGACTGGCTCCATATTTGAGGACTGGCTCCATATTTCCCTCTGTTGAGTCTTTCACAGTAAACATAGAACAATTCCAAGTCAACTGCATAAACCTTGTTCTTCTAGGTAAGCTGACTAAAACTGTAAAGATTTTTTTTAAACATCACTAACACTTCCATAAAATAAAAACTAATTTGTCAAACCACTATAGCAGAGCTAACATCCATTTTTGCCCCCATAAAAATTAATATTGAACATCTCACAGGGGCTGAATCCCCACTCAACTCAAAGCCTTTTTATTCAAAGCTATTTTTACATGTATTTTACACCTGTATTTTAAAAAAAGTTAATTCAAGGCACAAGAGCCAAATGTTTTCAGGGCCTGATTCTCTGTAGATTGAATTCTCTCTGCACCAATCTTGCACTGCAGTGGAGTAAACCAAGTTTAGCCCTAATTTCCTCTCTCCAGTGGAGATTAGAGGAGCCTGCTTTATCAGTAGGAGGAGAGCTGATGCTGAATAAAACAGCTATAATCTTAACAGCTCTTGCTCCCCAGCACTGAAAGGGAAACACAGTGGGGGGGGGGGGACCAAAAACCCCCCCAGTATAAGCTTTCAGATAATTTTTTCTTAAAGTCTAGAAAGAAATAAGGAACTGCCAGCTGAGCTCACCTTTCACATTACACTTGAAGATTTGGCTTACTACTCCTGTGTCGTTTTCTTTTTCTGCTGGCCACTCATACACATAGACTGTAGTCCGAGATGATCCAGCATCAAGCACTATTCCATACTAGGGAGAAAAAATAATACATTACATAAAGAAATAAAGAGTGACAGCTTACAGGTCCACATGCAGCTGTATTTCTTTGCTTTTCTTCTGTTAGAAAGGGTACACACAGTACATTTACAAGAGACATTAATCCTAGTACTAGGTGCTTAGACATGCATCTCACAGCAGAGCACAAAATGAATCTAGGTACAAAACAGAGAGTATACTGTGTATCTTCAACAGCCGACTGAGTGGGAATGAAGAACCTCATCATCTCCTTTCAGCATCAGGTTCAAAACCCACCATGTTAGGTCCTCATTTTACAGCAAGCTGCATTCTCATTATCCCAGCTACACTCACCGGACAGTGAAGGGCTGGATGCCTAAGCATTGGCACGAGATCCAAGGGTGCACAAGGACTCTTACAGCCACAAGCAAAGAGGTAAAGTGGATAATAGTCCACAAGTAGAATGACGAAACAAGTCTGATTCCTTTCTAATTTCCCAATAAACTCTCCTTCCAAGTGACTTAGGCAGTCCATCTGTGAGCCTGCCACTGAAATTAGTCTGTGTCAGAGTGAGAGACAATACTGAGAGAAAGAGAATCAATATTATCCCAAGTTTACTGATGAGATAAATAAGAAATATTTAAGTGATCCGCCCAAGGTCACAGAGCTTTCTGTGGGATTAAAAAACGGGTTTCTCCAGCTCTGTCCACTGCCCACCATATCAGTCTTCCCCCCTTTTCTGTCTTTTGTGGCAAAGCACTCAGGCAACTGCGAAGGCAAACTCCGTGAAGGAAAGTATTCTGAAAGCAGTAATTCTGCTTATCCTCTTTGTGATCCCTGAAGGTAAGTTTAGCTGCCCCCCTCTCCCCAACTCATCTTACTGGTAGGAAACACACTTTTTTTTTTTTTTTAAAACAGTTGTCCAGAAGAAGTATCAGCCTGACAATGGTGAAAAATGAGAGCCTCCACCTGGCTATGAAGCAGTAAGAGCAGCTGCAGCAGGCTTATAAATTTCATCCTACTGCCTCCCTGCAGAGCCTCAGATCTGACTGAGAAAGATCACTGCTTCAGCCTCCACACCTCATTAGTTCCTAGCTTCCTACTGCAATCCCCCAAACTCCTGCCCCTCTAAGAATTACCAGCAATACCAGTCTCTAATCTATTTCCCAGAGAACTGTTAGATAATGAAAATTTCATTCATACTTACCCAGACCATATTTAACCTGATCAACTAAGAAGTGAAGGGCTCCAAAGATACTATCAATCCACTAAGCCATCAGGTTCCATCCAAGGCACCGTTTTAGCAAAGACACTTTAACTGTGTTCCCCCTCCTGGAAAGGCTTTGCATCACATTTGCTTTAGACAGATGAGCACTCTGGAGATACAGTAATGGTATATCTACACACAGGCTATTATTTACATCTAGTCTCAGTGAGCTCAAAGTGCCAAGCACAAGCTTTTAACTTTGCTATTTCTAGTGCTAAGTATCGTCCCCTTGTAGACCTGGAAGATAATGGAAATATGCCACCAAAATATTTCCCTTAGCTAAACTGTAGGGCTTTTTGACCCATTTCCATCCTCCTTCCCCAATATGTACCTGCATTTCTCAAGCTGCTGCCTGAAAGTAACAGATTTCCATCCCAAAGTGTCAGTGGTATGTTTATCTGAACCAATGTAAAACCAGCTACTTTAGTTCCCTACGCCTTCTCTCATTTTTCTTGTAGTCTCTTGTTCCCTTTAAAAAAGATGTTCCTTTTAAAAGGAGCCTTGGGCAATTTCAAGCTAACTCTTGAGCTGAGAAGCTTCATCTGTCACCTCTGCGTGAACTGGTCCATGCAGCCTCATAAGGTGGTGATTAATAAGAAGTATGTCAGATGTTAGAACTAAGATGAGTCTTCAATAAAAAATAACAGAAATGACAGAGGATGCAGCATTTCGAGAGGGGGAGAGAATTCTACATGCCTTGTCTTAGGTTGAACTAGGATGCTTTGGTAAGGTTACATTTCGGTTCAAACTGCAAGTCAGATCACCTTTGGCTGCCCTTTAGGGACAAGCAATGCTCCCCTGCTTTAAAATGTGCTAAATGGGATAGAGAGCACAGGAAAACACTTATCCTGGGCCAGCAGCTACTAAAGGACAGAACAACTTTTCTTCCTTTCCCCTTCCTTTTCCCTCTTCTTCAATTTTTCCACTGCAAATCTCCATCTCTAATCAATCACCAACAGAGAGGGATAAAGGCCTGGGGATTTCCTAATATGCAGCTGCATCATCTAGTCAATGGACTAGAGAAGACAAGGAGGCAACATTAACCCAGAAAAGCTTCAGAGTTCTGTTTTCTTGACCAGTAAAAATAAGAAAGATGAAAAAAAAGACTTGAAGGAAAATGCTGCTTTTTTTCCATAGGTCACTGGATTGCTTTTACTGTTGCCCAGGGTTTCTCCAACACCTATGGCACAAAGAAAGCGTACCGCTTTACTTCCTGGCAGAATATTATGACTACTGCACACACTTATCAGAAGCTAAATAAAGAGCAAGGAAACAATAAACCAGACTTTGTGTCTCTAAAGGTACATTCAGACACCATTTCCCGGCTGCAGCAGGGCTGACTGCAGAAACAACTACCCCCCATGCGGTCAACTGTTTGTCCTTCCCCTGCAAGAGCATACCCTTCAGTCCACTAGCACAATTGCTTTGTGTGAGCACTTCTAAACTCTTTCAGAGGAAGATTTATGCTGGTCAACTCAACCAATCTAGTTGTGGCCCAAGTGGGTAAGAAATACTTATATGAGCAGCTGTGTAAGTACACCTTAAAAAGTAGTACTCTCAACAGGGAAGCAGGAACAAGCCCCTGGAGCAATCACCTCTTCAGCCTGAATATCACAGCCACAGGAGGACATACACCTGCAAACCCTTAAAACAGGCACAATCACGACAGCTCATTTGCCTTCCTATCATCTTGGAAAACTGCAATAGGAAACTAACAAGCTAAACCAGTTACAGCAAAGATGGAGCCAGCAAAAGTGCATCCATGCTAGAAGCACGCTCCAGTTCAACTATATAGGTTTGAACTGCTTTTAATCAAGTCATAACATCTGCAAGCAAGGCAAAACACTTCCTGAGAGCAAAAAGAAATGTGCTCTTTTGCACATGCTAAGTTTAGGTGTAGAAAACCGTGGCACCTGGAGAGACTAAAGATTAAAGAAATACAAAAATGAAGAGCAGCATTCTTTCTCTAGGGCTCACAAAGCGACTGTGGACAAATAGAAATTTTGTTGACTGGTATGAAGGGTCATTACATTCAGAGCTACATTTACAATTCTGGACTTCTTCACAAGCTGTGTCACTAAAGGTTGTTTGTGCTCCCTTCATCACTCTTCTCATTTTCCAGTGTTTCAATGAGTCACAAGCTCTTTCAGTGCCTCAGCCTCATGCACATGGACAGGTTCTTCCTTCACAAATTACTGGCTGATTCTTCAGATAACCCAACCACCAAGGAACCAAAATATTTTATCTGACAGGATTTATATGCTGGTAGTTATATGGACAAAATACAGGACTCGGAATGCCAAACGGCACAGCTCCTCTAGAAGGCTAATTTCTATAGCCTTGTCTTCAGTTACATGCATCTCCAATTGTATAATCCGCCCATACACTTTAGCAGCACAAAACAAAGCCTGAACCTACTTTCCAAAGTATTTTAATTTACCTTTTTCAGTTTGTTCTGCCCCTCCTCATGAAGCTTCTTTCCTCCTGTTAACATGCAGCAAGTCCCAGCATGTGGTAAATCAAAAAGTACACAGTCACAGCCCAAATGCAGTTTTCCCATGATAAAGGTATGATGAGACATTATTTTGTGGCTGTAAACTCATTTGAATCACCACATAAAATATAGTTCAGAAAGGTTTATTATTAAATATAAATTCAAAACATTGTTCTCCTGCCTTGTATGTTTTAAGACTTACCTTAAGTCCTGGAGAGAGGCTCTTTTGCTGGTTTCTCTGAATCACAGCAATAGCAATGACAAGAACTATGCTTAGAAGAAGGAATACCTGGGCAACAACACTTGGAGTTTTGGTGAGCATCCTGAAACAACAAAGGAAATATTTAAGGAGTGTGGAAGGATTCAGTGGTTCTATCTCAGAAGGCTAAGGCCTTATGCCCTGAATCAATTGAGACGCCTCATAAAATTTCAAGTTTCATCAACTAGATAATGCTACAAGAAAATTCTGTGTTCTCCTCAAGAACTGCCTGGTGTTTTGCCATAACTAACTCGTCGTTGTCCAGAAGGGGCGTGTCTATATTGTCACGCTAATGAATGCCAGATTTCACCCTCAGGTGCCAGTCTGCTCATTTCCCACAGTGTCTACATGTAAACACATGCTCACTGGCTTGGCTTGCCTCAGGAAAAAAGGGTGATGGGCAGGCTGGGGCTAGTGCACACTCAACAATCCCATGCCCACATACAACATGGACAAAGCCACAGCCATGTAGACACAAAGCTGGCAGCTGTTTAACACACCTGGATGTTCCTGTCAGAGATGTAAGGTCAGTGTCTAGAACAGATACAGGCTGCTTTAAAAAGGAACAAAAGATGTTTTAAAAACTGTAAAGTGGTCATTTTTTTCTAACTTCTAAAGCGTCCATGAAATAGGTTTCTGTATATATATGTGCATATACTAATACAGAGCCTATTATTATCCCTGTGCACTACTTTAAAAGGCATAATGTATACAGTTTAACCCACAGATCTTGCCATGAACAGTACTAAATCTAAATAAACCCAAAGCGTAGTTACGCTAGCCAAACATGATTGGTGACATGAAATGTTCATACTGAAGAGAAGGCTGTCTATATGCTTTTCTGGAAAGGTTTTTTAGAATTCAAGGGTGTTTCAGGTTTCTTGTAATTTCTATTAATCTTTTACTTTTGCATGTCCCTGGCTAGACAGCTCTTCACCCCAAAAGGCATTTCAGTATCTCCGAGTCAGAAGACCCATATCGAAAATTCTTATGCTTCACAGGGGCTGAAGAGGGAAGAAGTGGCTGGTGGGAGATGGGAAGCTCAGAAGTCTCAGAGAAACACAAAAGAGAGCCTTGTTGCCTTTCTCACGTGCAGAAACCAGTTATTTTGACATAGAAATATCACATTAGCCTGGCATGATCCATCCTAATTCCCATCTCCTAATTCTGCAGCGCTCATGATGGAGTATACATGCAGTTGTTCAGGATCACCCTGTTGTTCCAGCAACTGCCAATGCCAGTCCGTCCTAAGCACAGGAAGTAACAGGAAGTCTACTCTCTCTGGCTGTAGCACACTGAGCGAGCCCTGTTGTACCTGCAACAGATGGTCAGCCTCCTTAGGCTCCAACCTAAGCTGGAGGGCTGAGGAAGACGGGCAGGAAAAATGCTTTTATACACAATTCCAATATTCTAAACCCCAGGATTACTTCAGCCTTTGCAACTCTGGTCCAATATCCATGCTCGCATTCAAAAGCAGCTAGTTACTTGTTCTGCTTTGGGCCTGTCTTCGCGCTGAGTGAGCTTTGCCCACTGCTGCTGCTTTCCTTCTCTGTTTTCTAATTTCCCTTGTGAAGTCTAGCTCAGATCAGCTTTTGGAAACTCACTTCAGCCTGACACGTCTCACCTCCAGAATGTGATTTTTAATGCTAATTAATCCCCTTTTCCAATCCATATGGGCTCCTGATTTACTGCCAATCTACTCTTCCATCACTGTCTTTTCCTTGGTTGGTATTAACTTCATTATCTTAATCATCAGACATCTGTGAGATAATTATCAGGCTGCTGCCCAGCTGCACTGATGATTAACTAACTGCTGTCCATCACTTTACTATCCTGAGACATTCAAGCATAATGTACACCATACATGAAAGATAGTAAAAATAAGATTTCAGATTTCATTCTATTAGAACATCTGTTAAAACCTAAAAAAGGATTCTCATTGGAATCTGAGGATGCTGTCAAGGCATACTAATCAGAAGTATTCATACATAGGTCAATTCATTTTCAAAAAGAAACAGCAGATTTTAACTATACATCTAAGAATAACCATCTTGATAAAATACTTGTCTTTGGGGGGAAAAAAAGAACTTTTTCTTTAGCTTGCAAATCTGTATACGCTTTCCATGATCACAGGATTATCTATAATTAAGAAGCAAGTGAAAAAGTATCAACATACAACCTAATATAAACCATCACTCCTGCATCAAAGCACTGACTTTCAGTGCAGGAAAAGGCAAGTCACTACGGATGAGTAAAAGCTCAGGGCAAATGAGTCTTTGAAAAACTAAAGCCTTACTAAAGATCAAAGCAATAATCAATATTACGCTATTAACACTCAAAAACACCATGAACGACTGCTGAAATATCTTGTGTTACATCCTATTATCAGGGAAAACTGAGAACTTGGTTTGCTGAAGTTCTTATCCGCTTCCCTGGTACTGGGATTTGGCTTCATCAGTGACGTTTTGCTTTTCAAAAATCTTTTTTGACAGGGAGGATATTCATCATAAAATTGTCTTGTTTGCCAAGATTGTATCAGAGAATAAGCTGTAAATCCTGATTTAAGCAACTGCCTTTGGGTCAGGACACCTTACACTCCATGCCCTCCTGAAGCCATCACACAATTGACATCTAGCCAATCCAAATCGTGTGAGATGCTCTAAGATTTCCTGTTACCTGGATTAGAAGCACAGGGCTGTATTTTACTCTCAGCTACACTCAAGCACTTAAGTCTCCCACACATACTAAGCAACACAGTAATAATGAAGAGATATAGAGAAGAGTTTATCTAGTCCATGATTTAAGGAGTTGCAGGAGTATAAGTAACTCACTCTAAGTGGCTGCATTTGTTGGCAAAATGCCAATAAGGCACTTTAAAAGAAGTTGTTAATGAATAAAAAGGCAGCCGCATTACATTATTAAAACAACATCATCCCGAAGCAAGAAACAGCATAAATACATACAGTTTTCACACCCAATTAAACTAAATGCAGTGGACCACACAGGATTATATTGGAGGATCATTTTCTACACTTTCAAGCAAAAGGAATGCCTCTCTGCAAAGCAAAATTGAAAACCGAAGGAAAAACATCTTCAGGCCATCAGCATTTTGAGTCTGGTTAAGTTAAATATACCTCTGTATCAATACCAGTGCAGATTATATGTTGAGATTCCTTTTTCCAAGTTACTTCAAACATCCAACCCACTTATTTTAAATACTAACCTGCTTGTTCACATGGCAGATGGGCAAGCACCATAAACATCGTCCTTCAAACTACAACCACAGAGATATAAATACATTAACGTTTATTTTAGCTGCGGTCTGTAGGCAAATGCTTTTGAAGTGATGCAAAAAAAAAAAAAAAAACCCGACAAACAGAAAATTTTAAAACCCTCAATAAAAACCTGTGAGGAAGTTTTCACAGGGCTGTTCCACTTAGAGAGCAGCCGGCCGAAAAGAAGGGGGCCTTCCTTCGGAGCAGTAAAAAAAAAAAAAAAAAAAAGTAAAACAACCCCTTTCCCCACACGGCCTTAAAAATAAGCGGCTCCTCGTTCACCGTCCCGGGCGAGGGAGCTTCGCGCACTGCTTGTGATTTGCGAAAAAGCGACAGCGGAGAAGCTCTCCTCCCCCGCCCGCCGCCCCCACACACGGGCGCGCACAGC